ATTTAGAACCTCTGCTTTCTGCAGTCCCTTCTTGTATCTGATGAAGTAGGCTGCTACTTATGAAAACTTATGCATTTAGTTAGTCAAGGGCTGTCCAGCCGGTGACTTGCAGGCCACCTGGGCTAAGTTGCAGCCCCTGGGCTCAACTGGCCACTGCTCTCCTATCACTTTGGTTGTAACAGTAGCCAGATACTTCAAACTTCCCATCCTTCCTCTGGCTGCCACTTCTTGCCCTTGCCTTAGGGATCAAGCAGTGCAGTGCAGCTCAGGGAGAGCCCAGGCCACATGCAGAGGGGGAAAGGGGAGATCATACTTACACGAGGCAATAGGGAGGGGAGGGTACTCATGAGGGTGCACACCTCGGTAGGGAAGGAGGAATTGTGCCTGCGCACCTGCACAGTGCACAAGTGAGGGAGTGCCAAGTGCAGTGGGGAGGGGAAGGGGAAGGGAGTTGCCCACACAGAGCAGCAGGGGTAGGGGGTGTTTGTATGGCCTGGTGGCCTGTGGCTTAGAAGTTGAACACCCCTGAATGCAAATTTCCCCTGCCTTCTGCCTGGTAGATAATTAGTCTTCACCTGTTTTTTCATAGAAGCCTCCTTTTCAATTTAAGTGACCCCCACTGCCTAATGTGATGTATTTTTTCTCCTGAAGGATAAATTTAGCTCATGTTGATCAACAAAGTTAGCACTCCATTCTATGCCACAGGATTAAAAATGATGATGACAGAACGGACAGCACTAAATATGAACACTTGCATGTTGTTGTCCTTGTTCGGTATTTACAAACATGGAATATTGTAGCAAAATTGTAAGTCTCTTAAGCAGCCAATATGCACTTGGTCCATTTAAAAAAAATAAAAAACCCTGCCTGATAACAAAAAAGAACTTATTTCTATGATAAAAATCCCTTAGGAAACAATTAATGCAAAAATTTGTCTTGCAGTATTTAGAGCCTCAAACTGAAAAAACAGACAATAAACAAAACAAAACAAAAAATTCCTATCCTGCCTGCTAACTGGTTTTCTTGGACAATAAAGTTGTCCACAGATACTCCTCAGGACAGAGGTCCCTATGGGTGCTAGACATTTGCTTTCCCACTTTATTAACATACTAATTTGATACACAGAGACAGATATGCAAAATGTCATGTTTAGTTCTTCCTTATAACAGGAAAAATAATAGGATTGCAACTATTATCTCTTACATACAAGTATATTTAACTAGGTGTAAGTAAAGCTTAACTACCCATTAATCATTCTCAGGTGCTGGCTAGTCCAGCAAATCAGACATTGCTATGCTTAGCCTTACCGAACATGAACCTCTAATGCTCCTTCCATTAAATCTCCATCTATATTCCAAGGGTAATTTCCTCCTTCAGGCACGTTGTCTTCAGTTTCAAATCCATTCTTAAGTGTTGGCTGGATTTTCACTTCCTGAGCAGTGTAGGTCTCAACAAAGGGGAAATTAAACTAAACCAAACAAACATAATTGTTAACAAAGCCAAAAGACATAACTTAAAAATGGCCTACTTATCTACTACAGTACTTAAAAGCTTGTTTTTTTTCTCTTTAAACATACTAAAACACTTGAATCTGGCTTTAATCTCATGAAATGCATTGTTTATATTCAGGACAGTGTTTATAATCTAATAAACTATTTAGTCTGAATAGTGACTTAGTCCAAATAGTGACTCCATTTTTATTGTCCTGCTCTCACTTCCAGATTAAATTTGGTTGGTTTCCGAGATTATGTGTCTTTCAATGACCAGCACTTCAGAAGTGCAGCTATGCTTTTTCTGGCTTGTCCACCATTACTCACCCAAAGAGGCAAGTATAAACGTGCAAAGCTTTCCCTCTATAAGAGTGCTTCAGTGACCAAATAAGGAAGGCACAGAGCTTTTCCTGAAGCCACTGCCACCACTCCCAGTGGAACTGATTTAAAAAAAAGAGAGGAATAAAGTCCCTGCAACAGATTTATATTTTTAATGATTATCTGAAAGAAACTTAAATGTGACTATCACTGATTAAACCAGACATAACATTAAGTAAAAAGATGATCAGTAAACTTTCTGATAAGAAATAATTATCTGTGCATTTAAAGTATCAATACAGGGGAAAAAGCTCTCTCTCAAATGCAATTTCATTGATGTAGCTAAATAAAGATGGAATACCGACACTATTTTTGAAGCGCGGATCTTCAAACCCTGGTTTGGAAGTTGTAACTGACTAAAATCAAATGACATAATTTATTAGAGGTATTGTGGCCATTAGAGCATAAAATGATTGGCCAAAGTTATTGAATTAAATGCTTGATTTTTCTGAAGAGTTGCATCTGGTCCTTCATATGTACCCTTAATCTCAAATTTAAGTATAGAATTTCACTGTATTTGGTTCAGCTTTACACTCTTGTGAAACTATTGGCATAAACTATGTATAAACTAAACCACAACAGATGGACTGAAATAGGTTAATCGGTATTAGTCTGATTGGTGATTTTCAAAAATCAGATAAAAGGGAGCTAATGTATTCTGACAGGAAACTAAGTCTCCTTGTAAGGACACTAATATTAACTCCTTTAGCATGTCTACCTTCATGATTAGCAGATCTTCTATAATCACAAAAAAGGATTAACTGTACCTGATTTTTTACACTGGCATATCTTTTTAGATGTTTTATAAAGTCTGCCCGAGAAGTGTTTCGTACAACAATAAGAGCCAGGCTTCCATTATTCAACCTGAAAAAGTATGTTTTGATTAAACCAAACTAATAATGTAATACGATACATTGAACAGGCTTTATTTCTTGGACTAAATTCAGAGACTATATACTTGTTCATATTAAATAACAAAATTAACTTCTGTAAATTTATTTAGAAATTTAGAAATTTTCAGTACACTTAAGTGATTTTGACTTGGTTACTTATTAAATAATCATCCAACAATTATATTTGTAACTCAGTTTATTCCTAAGAACTACTTAAGGTGAAAAGAAGAGATACATTCTAATAAAACTACCATGATAGAATTATACATCCAGTATCATTGTTCTAGTGTTTTACACAGGAAATTCCATCAAAAGAGGAGAAAATTATAGATTATTTTAAAGAAAGGGTAAACTGAAACCCTAGATCCTAGACTAACAGCAGGAACAAGATAAAGGTAGACTGCTTTTCATTTAATGCGTTAATCAATTAGTTTTAGAAAAACAATATAGACAGAAAGCCAGTAGAGAATAATGTTTTGTCATTTTTTTAAATTCATAATTCTACAAAAAAGGATTAATATTTATATCAAACATTATATATAAATTTTAGGGGACTACACTAAAATGAATATCTGTATATTTCATCTTAATAGAAATCATTTAACACTATTTAAACTTACAGCCTTATTACTATAAAAGACTGCCTTTGTAACATCATTTAGAATATGCTTGTTCTGGATGTAGCTAAATAAAGATCCTGTGTAATTATGGCTATGAGGACTATTCAGGGTTTTTTTGCAATTCTCACTAAAGTTCTATTCAGTCTGTGGATTGGATATAAATGACACCTAAAGGAATTTTGTACAACGTGGAAGTTGTCAGTAATAATAATGATGAGCAAGAGGCTCTGTTCTTATGGACAATGCTCAGGGGCATTTAAGTACCTAACTCTCATTGGAGCAAACTCCCATCTCTGAGAATGTGGATACTTGTCTGTAAGTGCCAGTGCTTCTCACATCAGTTGGCCCCAAATATACGATCCTTCAATATTTTAATCAGTGCTGCTGAGAATCAGGGCTTTGAACTTAAGCTGATGTAAACTGATGTCATCCTATTAAGGGAACTACATCTTTTTACAGAAGGACACAGACCTGGCACTTAAACTTGGACCTGACTGCAAGCCCCCTGGGGCAGGGATTGCGTCATATTAAGTCAGGTGTATGTTTTAGTATTGACCATCATTCAGCAAAGGGGCTTAGAAGCCCATAAAATGAAACATTAACAGAAAAAGCATGCTAACAAGCTACAGAAAGCAGGGGAGAGTGGCATATATATACAGATCCATAAAGAATGTTATCCTGGACTATGACACTGCTTCTGTTTCTATCACATTCTTCCGCCCTGTCCGCAAATACTGTTCTTAAAGAATGAAATTTTAAAAACGGACTTGAACACACAATCATGGAATAAGACATCATCTACAGACTGGACTGGGGTAAGTATAGCCTAAATCAAGTCTATGGTTCTTATCCCAATACCTGGACCAACTTTTATAACCTCTGAGTCCCCATGGTTTTACTGTTCTGTTTACCACCTTTGCTTCTCTCAGTGGTGCCCCTCTCCTTTTCTCCCCCTTCTCTACCCTTTGTATTTAAATTGCTGCTTTCTACTTAGAAACCCTGATCACTGCAGGTCCACTCATAATGTATGAGGAAGTAAGCTACTGTTTATGAAAGCTTATGCCCAACTGAATTAGTGTGTAAGGCGCAAATCTACCTTGCCTTCTGCCTGACTGCAAAGCGGGGCCTATGCGGGGGCTGCAGTGAGTCTTTGGGTGGAACATGCCTCGCCCATGCCCTGCTGCTGCTCACCCAGCTGGGGTGAAGCCACTGCTTGTCCGTGAGGTGCCGGGAGGCCGAGCTGGCTCCCGCCGCTACGCGCAGTTTGTCTGGAGGCAGCACAGAGGCTCAGTCTTGTGCCGGCCCCATGCTGGCTGGGCTAACAGTGGGGGGGCATAACCCCCACTCCCAGCACCTTCCACCCGGTGCAGCCCTGGCCTTGCCTGCCCCACACAGATCCTGGGGCACATGCCCCCATCCCATGCCCTCCCAGAACAGCAGTGGGAGCAGCGGTGAGCCACTGGACAAGCCAGCACATGAGCAGCTCCCAGACTGGTGGCGCACAGTGGTACGAGCCGCCCCACCCCCTCCCTGGCCAGGGCTGTGCTCCAGGTGGTAAGCCCCCACTGCTGGGCTGTGCTCTGCAGGGCGGGTGGAGCCAGGGCTGTGCTCCGGGAGGCTAGCCCCAGTCGCCTGCCTCCCAGCTGCACTCTGTGGGTGAAGCCAGGGCTGCGCTCCAGGCACTAGCACAAGCCGCGGCCCAGAGCACATCAATGCCCCTCCCTCACTGCAGGGGCATTGATCTGCACCCCCCCCCCCACCCCC